GTCAGGCAGAGGTGACCAAGACGGGGGACATCCGCATCTCTGTGGGGGCTGAGGCCCCAAGCACAATGGGGGCCCAGCTCGACCCCATCCACCTGTCCATCTTCTCACACCGCTTCATGAGCATTGCTGGTCAGTGGCTGCCCCCGTCTGTGGGAGAGTGTGTCCGGGGCAGAGGGGGTGCAGGCGGTGTGGCCCTCAGGGGTGTGTGGAGAGAGGTGGGGTGTGACCCAGGGGAAGGTGGGCGGTGTGGCCCAGGCACTGGGATGGCCAGCCCCCCGGCACCGGCAGGCCTTGGGCGGTGTGAGTACCTAAGTCCCACCGACAGCCATGGGGTCCGTGGACAGGAGGTGGGCTCAGCCCAGTGAAGCTGTCCTTGCGGGATCGGGCTGGGGCTGCTCGAGGCCCTCAGTCCTGTGCCTTGGCACTGGCTTCTTACTGTGCTGGGCACGCTGGAGGGGGGACGGGTGGGGTCTCAGGTTCTTGGTGAGGCTCCAGGCAGGGATGGAGAGGAAGGGGATGGCCCTCACACGGGCACGGTGGCCCGGCTGTGGCCTCTTGGGCGCACATGAGCCACTGCCACTCTGGGGCCCCCTGGAAGGCGGCAGGTCCCTCGTCTTCCTGTTGTGTGCATCGGCCAGCTGCGCTGGGGGGTGGGGCCAGGAGTGCCTGTTACTCTGTGCCCGCAGAGCAGATGGGCCGCATCCTGCAGCGAACAGCCATTTCCACCAACATCAAGGAGCGCCTGGACTTCTCCTGCGCCCTCTTCGGGCCGGATGGGGGGCTGGTGTCCAACGCCCCCCACATCCCCGTGCACCTGGGTGCCATGCAGGAGACCGTGCAGTTCCAGGTTTGGCGGGTCTCCTCCTGCTTTCCCTGCCCCCCAACCCCCGCCCCTTCCAACCAGGGGCTGTCTCCGGCCTCAGATCCAGCAGCTGGGAGCTGACCTCCACCCTGGCGACGTGCTACTGAGCAACCACCCCAGTGCCGGGGGCAGCCACCTGCCGGACCTGACCGTCATCACGCCGGTGAGGACCTCCTCCGCTGGGGCAGCCCTGGCGGTGAGGCTGGCCGAGCGGCTGACGCTCACTCTGCGCCGCCAGGTGTTTTGGCCAGGTCAGACTCGGCCTGTGTTCTACGTGGCTAGCCGCGGGCATCACGCGGACATCGGGGGCATCACGCCGGGCTCCATGCCGCCCCACTCTACCACACTGCAGCAGGAGGGCGCTGTCTTTCTGTCTTTCAAGCTCGTCCAGGGGGGCGTTTTCCAGGAGGAGGGTGAGTTGGGGTGGGGTTGGGGTGATGGCGAGGGCAGGGCAGGAGTTGGTGAGCCGGACACGGGGCTGCTCCTAACAGCCAGGCCAGGGGGGACACTGGGACACTGCCTAGCGGCCCAGGCCTGCCTTGAGCCTGGGGGGGTGGGTCACGACTCCACAGTGGTTGCAGACCGTCTCTCAGAGTTGACCAGAGGCTCTGAGGCACATTCTGCCTGGGCCCAGGAAGGCCTCAGTGATGTTGGGGGTGGGGAGCTGGCCAGGACACCCATGGGACTGGCCAAAGGTGGGAGAGAAACCTGTTGCAAGGTAGGCAGTGGCCCACGCTGGTTAGTCTGTGCTGCGTTTGCACTGGGTCTGGGGGCTGCAGAGAGTGGTGAGGACAGGGACTGCCAGCTCTTAGAGAACTTTCCTGGGCTTGGGCCTGAGACACTGGGTGGAGGGTGGCTGTGAAGGGCTTCAGCGCGCTGCACTGGTCTGCCTACACACCATGAGAGCCCCCAGCCTGTGTGCCGAGTGGATGGGCATTGGAGGGTGGCCCAGAGGCCAAGATGAGGGTAGTGGGGGCAGCCATGGTTGCCCTGGGTGGTGCTGACCCTTGAGCTGGGCAGCAGGCATCACGGTAGGGACAACTGTCTCCGAGATCAAGGTTGGCATTGGGTGGGATTGGTGGACGGGGTGAGGAGTCCAGTTTGGACAACTAGGGGTTGGAGGGAGGCTCCGACAACAGGTGGGCACAGGGCAGCTGCATGGAAGTCGGGCAGGGTTTGCAGTGTGGCCCAGGACACAGGGGCAGTGGCAAACACAGCTGGTGGAGGCGGCAGGGGCCTGGGAGCCTAGGGGGGCATCCCAGAGTGAGGGCACATGGTGTGGGCAGGGTGGAGAGTGGAGCAACAGAGCTGCAGTCCGCTGTCACACACAGAGTGACCCAGCCCTGGCCACCCTCTCGGTTGGGGTGGGGGGAGCAGAGGGCAAGGGGCAGGAATCATGGGAGGGACATGGGCAGGTGCATGACAGAGGACGCAGTGGCCAGGGCCCAAGGGAGTACTGTATCCCAGACTAGGGAGAGAGGCTGTCCCTCAGTCTCTGGGGCTCCCAGATTTGTTTGGGGGGACACGAGGCACAGAGAGCCCTCTTCACAGTGGTTGAGAGAGCCGCACCCCATGGGGCAGTGATTGGGGGAGGGTCACGGAAGAGGGGAGGGAAGGCCAGAAAGGGCAGGGGGTGTGGCAGGTGGTGGGGGGTGTGGCATGTGGCAGGGAGCTGGGGCAGAGAGAATTAAAGGTGGAGGCAGGGTTTGCTGAGGGAGGAGCCCCTTCCAGTCCCCAGAGCCTCCAGCTCCCATGAGGTCACAGGCAAAGCTGCCTGTCCTCATCTGGGGTACCCTGGGGGGCTGGAGTGTGGGAAGGAGAAGGTTGAGCAGATGGGAGGAGGCTGGGGGAGAGCCCGTGAAGGGCCAACATGGGGTGCCCCGCACAGTGCCCAGCAGAGGTGAAGCCGGTGTGCAGCGGGGCACCAGCGAGCCCCGGGGGCTCAGGGGTCTCAGTGGTGACCTCCTCTGTCCAGCGGTGACTGAGGCCCTGCGGGCTCCAGGCAAGATTCCCGGCTGCAGCGGAACTCGGAACCTGCACGACAACCTGTCGGACCTGCGAGCGCAGGTCGCAGCCAACCAGAAAGGCATCCAGCTGGTGGGGGAGCTCATTGGGCAGTACGGGCTGGACGTGGTGCAGGCCTACATGGGCCATATTCAGGTGGGCCCAGCGCGCAGGGGCAGGGGGGCAGCTCGGTGGGGAGGTGGGGGCGCCCGCACCACCTGGAAGGCGGCATGGCTGCCCACAGAACATTCTGTCTGCCAGGCAAACGCAGAGCTGGCCGTGCGGGACATGCTGCGGGCCTTCGGAACCTCCCGGCAGGCCCGGGGCCTGCCCCTGGAGGTGTCGGCAGAGGACCACATGGACGACGGCTCCCCCATCCGCCTGCGCGTGCAGATCAACCTGAGTCAGGTTAGGCGCGGCGGCGGGAGGAGGGTTTGGGAGGCGCGGCCGCCACGCTGCGGCTGACCCCATCCCTCCCCCCGCGAGCAGGGCAGCGCACTGTTCGACTTCAGCGGCACCGGGCCAGAGGTGTTCGGCAACCTCAACGCCCCGCGGGCCATCACGCTGTCGGCGCTCATCTACTGTCTGCGCTGTCTGGTGGGCCGCGACATCCCGCTCAACCAGGTGCGCGTACGCGTGTGGTGTCGCCCTGAACCGTCCTGGGGGCGCGGGCGGCCCCACAGAGGGCTGATCCCGGGGTGCTGGGGGTAGGCGCAGGGATATTCCCCGAGCGCCCTGAGAGCTGGCCCCTCCCCCCAGGGCTGCCTGGCGCCGGTGCGCGTGGTGATTCCTAGAGGCTCCATCCTGGACCCGTCCCCCGAAGCGGCTGTGGTGGGCGGCAACGTGCTCACGTCCCAGCGCGTGGTGGACGTCATCCTGGGGGCCTTCGGGGCCTGTGCCGCCTCGCAGGTGCGGCGGGTGGGTGGGCGCGCTCGGGCATGTCGGGGGGGGGGTGCCCCTCTAGCCCAGTGCAAATGCCACCTGTCCCTGCCAGGGCTGCATGAACAATGTGACCCTGGGGAATGCCCACATGGGCTACTACGAGACGGTGGCCGGCGGCGCGGGCGCGGGCCCCGGCTGGCACGGGCGCAGCGGCGTGCACAGCCACATGACCAACACGCGCATTACCGACCCCGAGATTCTGGAGAGCAGGTGCGCAGCGGCGGTGAGGGCGGGCGGGGCGGGGCGGGGCGGGGGCCGGCCGCACTGAGTCCCCGCCCCGCGCAGGTACCCAGTCATCGTGCGCCGCTTCGAGCTGAGGCTGGGGTCTGGGGGTCGCGGCCGCTTCCGGGGCGGCGATGGCGTCATCCGCGAGCTGCTCTTTCGCGAGGAGGCGCTGCTGTCCGTGCTGACCGAGCGCCGTGCCTTCCGGCCCTACGGCCTCCACGGTGAGCGGCCCGAGCCCCTGCCCCGGGGCCCCTGCGGCATGCGGCCGGGTGTCCTCCTGTCTCCCCACCAACCTCCTCTGTCCCTCCCCTCCTGGCCTCCCGGATTGCCCTCACCCCGCCTCTTCCCGCAGGTGGCGAGCCCGGCGCGCGTGGCCTAAACCTGCTGATCCGCAAGGACGGCCGGACCGTGAATCTGGGGGGGAAGACGTCGGTGCCCGTGTACCCCGGGGTAAGGACTGCGCCCCATCCTTTCTCTCTCCCGCTAGTCCCCCATTGATCCGCCTTCCGCAGAGTGAGCAGAGTTGCAAAGATGACCGGAAACTGAATTTAATTTGGTTTCTGAAGGGCAGAGGGCGAGCGCCGGGCCTCCGTGGTCCAGGCGGGCCGCCGAGGAGGGAGGGGTGGTGGCTGGGGCCGCAGCGGGAGGCAGCCTGGCGGGGAGGGCATGCCCGTGCTGAGCCTGCCCCCCTGTTCCACAGGACGTGTTCTGCCTGCACACACCGGGCGGTGGGGGGTACGGGGACCCGGATGACCCCGCCCCGCCGCCGCCGCCGCCGCCGCCGCCGGGGTCGCCCCAGCAGCCCCCAGCCTTCCCCGAGCGCGGCAGCGTCTACGAGTACCGCAGGGCCCAGGAGGCAGTGTGACGGACGGCCCCCACAATAAACAGCTCTTAAGGTGCCCCGTCCCTGCGGCAACTGGCCAGGCTCACGCTCTGCGTCCGTGTCCGTCTTTCCACCCGGGCTGGCGCCTGCGTGCGTGCGTCAGGAGGGCGCAGACACTCGGAGCCGAAGACCCACGGCCAGGTGGTCAGTGAGCCCCGCCAGGGCGGTGCTGAAGGTCACGTGCTCCACCTCCTAGGGGCAGGAGTCAGGCTGAGGGGTCGCCCCAGCGCCGGCCGCCCCAGCGCCCTGAATTCTGCCACTTACTGGACTCAGCGGGCCTCCGGCCACTCCCCGGTACATGACATAGTCCACGCGCCGGCCCCGCCAAGGCTTAGTCCGGGGGCCCTCTCCCGGAGGGCCTGCCAGGTAGCGGTGGCGCCCCTCCTCCTGCTCCAGGGCCCTGAGGATGGGCGGTGTCACCACGGCCAGGGGCCAGGGCTCCCCTCCGTGCTGGGCGGTGCCGGACCCCCAGTTGTGCACTCACCTCCGCAGCATCTCCGAGGAGCAGGCCACCGAGTGGCGCAGGGTGGAGGTGTTCAGCATCGTGCCTGGGGCAGGGCGGGTAGGGCGGTCATCGGGGGCGCCGAGGCCCCAGAGCCCTCCCTAGGACCGCTCCCCGCCCGGGCGCCGTACCCAGGGCCCAGGGCTGCTCCCGGCGAGTGCCCAGCCGGCAGGGGTCCCGGAAGTGGCTGAAGAGCTCGTGCTCCTGCTCCTTTGCGTGGTCTGCGGGGGAGAGGCCAGCGCTCGGTGGGCGGGGCCAGGCGGTGGCCCCGCCCCTCTGCGGCTTCCCCCTCACCTAAAGAACAGTTGTCGAAGTTTAGGTCACCCAGAAGCACGCTGAAGGCCACGGCATCGCCCCCCTGGCGGCTCTGGGCTTCAAACTGTTGGATCCAGTCCAGCAGAAGCGTCAGCTGTTTGCAGCGCAAGGGCGCGTCCCCTGCGGGGGTAGGGGAGGAAGGCTGAGTCCGGGTGCTCACCCCACCCCGGCCTCCGCCCGGCCCCGACCTGGGAGCCCACCAAGGCGCTCCACCACCCGGCTCGCGGTGCTCCAGGCCGTGGACACACGGTGGGGGGAGCGGAGACGCAGACGAGGGCTGGGACCCGCCGCCGCCAGGATGAGAGAGGGGAGACCGCGGCCCACGTGCTGACCCTCCCGTCCGCAGGGCTCACCGCTCGGCGCATGCAAGTGCGTGCAGTGCAGGAAGCCCACGACGCGGCGCCCGTCCAGGATGCCCACCTGCGCCTGCAACACGTGGACCGCCCAGCAACGTCGCCGGTTCGACCCCACGCCCAGCCCTCTCCCCGCGGCCGGTGGGCTTATACCTGTGCGGAAAGCAGTCCTTTGGAGGCCAGAGCGTCCTCGCGCCGTGCGTGGGGGAAGGATCGAAAGGCGGCGCGCAGCAGCGGATAACGGGAGGCCAGCAGCAGCCCACTGCCGAGCAGCTTGAGGTGCGGTCCGGGCCGCAGGCCGAAGGAGCCCACATCGTACAGCACTGGGCCCAGACAGGGCGCGAGGCGGCGGACGAGGCGGTGCGCCGCGCGCAGGTCGAACACCTCCTGCAGGCACACGAAGTCCAGCCCCGCCGGCACCGCGGCTATCAGCGTCCCACCGGGCGTCCCCGGCCCTGGCGGACTGCAGCCCGTAGTCCCATAGCGCGAGGGCCGCAGACCGGCGAGCAGCACGGCGCCCATGGCCTCGGCGCGCCGCTGGCTGTGCCGCAAGTTGTTGAAGCGCGCTAGGCCGTCGGGCAGCAGGCACAGGTTCGCGCTGAGGAAGCCGAAGCAGCGCGCGGGCTCAGCGGGGGGGCGCCAGGGCGCCGGGGGCGCCCAGCACTCCGGAGGGGGCCGGTAGCAGAAGGGGCGGCGCCAAGCCTGCAGGGGCAGCCAGAGCAGCAGGCCGGGCAGGGCGAGGGGCAGGCCGGCCAGGAGCAGCAGCAGCAGCGCCCCCACGGCGCCCGCGGCCGCTCTCAGCGCGCGGCGGTGGTTCGCGCGCGCCAGCGGCGCCCCGCAGCCCAGCAGCTGGTCCAGAGCCCAGTAAGCCGGAAAGAGCAAGGCTCGGGCCAGGCGGTGCAGGGCGTGCAGGGCAGGGTGCGGGAAGGGAGAGGGCCGCAGGTCGCCGGGCGTTGGGGGCCAGTCGGGAGGGGACTGCATGGCGCGCGGGGCTTCTTGGCCTCGGGACGCCCCCGCGACTCCGTCGCCTCCAGCGTGCGAATCGATTCGTTGGTGCGTCCGCGGGAGCTGCAGGGGAGCCGCGAGTCAAGGCTACGTGGCGCAGCCTGTGCGCGGAGCCGGGAAGATGCTGTGCTCCCGGGCGGTGCGGGCGCGGGCGGAAACCGGAGCGCCCGGGAAGCCGCGCGCTCCTCACCGGCGCGGAGTGTCGGCGGCCGTTGGAGAGAACAAAAGGGAAAGCGAAAGAGACCCTGGTTTCGCAGCCACGCCTCCGATCCTGCTCGCCCGGCCCCGCCCTCCCCTGAAGGCCGCCGGGAGAACCCCCAGACCTGTCGCTCGGGAACAAGGCCTGGGGAGCAGCCTGCACCAAGCGGAGAGCGGTCGTCGCCCGCGCAGGCGGGCTGGCGAAGGGAGCGCGGGGCGTGCTGCGTCCAGCTCCCTCCCTTCTCCCGGCAAGTCAGCGCGGAATTGCAAGGGCCCTCCGGCCGCCCAGACTGCCGGGTCCGCCCCACCCCCACCCGTCTGCCTCTGTTGCAGCGTCCAGCAGCTGAGTTCAAAGACCCACCCCCAGAGGGGGGACGGACTCCGAGGCTCCCGCTGAGCGTCCCAAGAGCTTCCCCCAGAGGCCTGTCCCCCGCGGTGACGGCTCTGTGACCTACCCCAAGGAGCTTCCAATCTCGGGGTAAGGGACCGTTGGTTGGGCTTTGTGCCGCTGCTTGCCCCCCACCCACCCCGGCACGTGAGCCACAGGGAAACCAGCTCCCATCGGGAGAGCCCCCTCGCACCTGCTCCGTTGGCTCCCGAGACCTGCTGCCTCGCGCTCCTTCAGCGGCTGCCTGGACCCCACTTTCTGATCTGAGCTGTGAACCACACCCCTCATCTCCCCGGTTTGCTCCTAAATTGCCCTGTAGTTTGGGTCAGGGCTGCCATTAAGCCCACAGGCGGCGAGGTGCAGGGCTTCCTGCCTCCCCTACTCCCAGTTCTCCAGGAAAACCTGATTCCCTTTAGAAACCAAAATCTGGTGCTGGCTGTGTTCCCGTTACTGGTGTGTGTCCATGCTGGGCCTTCTCAGCAGACAGCGAGATTTCTATCTATAGATCTCCACATCCCTATATGCAGAGTCCTTCCCTGCCTGTCCTGGGGGTCTGGCTGGATCCCCTGAAGTAGCAGGCCTGGGAGTGGGGAGGACAGAGAGGCAGGGGGCTCCTGGGTGCACTCCACGACCCTCTCCTTCCTGCATTCCTCGCTGGGGGCTGATAGGAGTCCCTTGGCCCCTTGGAGTCCTCTGGCTGGCACACACGGATGCCGCAGGAGCCACCTCTGCTGGGGTCCGCGTTCCCACCGCTTCAGCCCACCCTCATCCTCCCTTCACAGCCCAGGCCCTCCCCTTCCTCAGGCTGGTCCTCTCCTGTTCCTCTTCTGGGCCAGAGGCCACTCTGCAGGCTGCCCCCCCGCCCCGCTGCCCTTCCCTCATCCCACTCACATGGCCTGGCAAGGACCAGCAGTCTGCTCGCACTGCTTGGTCTCCGCACTGCCCACAGGCCCTTCCCCATCTGTCCACAGCTGTCGCGTCTTACAGCCCCCCTGCCCCCCCTTTCCCATTCTGCCCGTGCTCCACTCTGCAGCCCTCTCCACGCTGCCCTCTCCTGCTCAGCCCCACCCCCACGATTCCTGTGGAGCCAGCCTCATCTCCCTGGGCCCAAGGCGCCTGCCTGCGGAACTGGCCACATCTCCCTGGGCTGACCTGTGGCTCGGGTTTGGGTGGGGCTACTTTCTCCTGGTTCCCTCCCCGCCATCTAACACGCTCTTGCCCTCAAGGAAGGTCCAAAACCCTCCCTGCCGCCTCTCCCACTCCCCTCCTCCAGCCGAGTGCAGAGGGAAGGATTCCCACACCCACGTCCTGTCTCCTCCCTGCTTCTGCCTTTGACTCTGCACCAGGCTTCAGCCCCCTGCGCAGCACAGTGCTACTGGCCCAGCGCTTCCTGCTCCAAGTCCCCCCCCCCCCCCCCTGCCAGGTGAGGGAAGCCTTGGGACCTTTGAACATGCCCCCCCTTAGTCAAACAGCTGCCCCGGGGTGGGCATGGAGCCCCAGAGCAGGCAGGATCGAAGGGGTGCCGGGGAGTGAGGTGCTGGCCAGCCACCCCCGAGGAGCGGCAGTCCCCAAGTTCTAGCGTCTGTGGGAAGCTTTAATGGCTTTGCACTAGGGTGCGGGGCATGGTGAACCTGGGTGGGCGCGGGCCAGTGTCACCAGATGAACATGGGCTTGCCGTCGTCGTGCGCCAGCTGGCTGAGGCAGGAGAGCAGCAGCAGCGCGTCGCTGAGCATGCTGGGGTGCACGGTCTCCACCAGCACGCGCTGCAGGAAGTCCATGCTGTAGGAGCCGCCCTCCGAGGCCGCCGACTCCGGCCTCTCGCGCAGGATGCCGTAGGCATTCACCAGCTGCTCCGTCAGCGCCGGGTGCACCCGCCCGTTGTAGCCCAGGCTCTGGAGCCGGTTCATGATGCTCACGTACCGCTGTGTGAGGGTCTGGCACAGCTCCTCGTCCAGCTTGTGGTCACTGGGGTTCAAGGAAGCCTGAAGGGACAGTGGCCATCAGGTCCCTCTGCCCCGAGCAGGCACAGGGCAGGAGAGGGGCAGATGTGGCTGTGGGTGCAGGGGCTGCTGGGGGAAGGGGGCCTGGAGGTCCCGGGGAGAAGCTCTGGAGGGTCTAGGGTTAGGGGGAACCCAGTGGGTTGAGCTGCAGGGGAGAGTTCCCCAGACTCCATCCCCGTGGCCTGCTCCCCCCACCAGCAGGGACTCTGATGGAGCTGAGGCTATGAGTGGCCCACAGAGAGCTCGGCTGGGAGCCTGGAGGTGTAGGAAAGAGGAGGGGTCCTGGCTGGCCCACACCCCAGGGGGCCTTTCCCAGGCACCCTGCTGGCTCCCTGCCCTGAGACCTCCCCAGCCTCTCCAGGTCCCTTCTCTGTCGCCCCGCGCTGCCTCCCCAGCACCCAGCACCCGTACCCCTCCTTCAGTGAGGCCCTGTCCTCCCTTCATGCTGAACTGACTGCCCCAGGCCCTGAACCCACCCTCCGTCTCGGCACCAGGGGGCCTGCTGCCCCTCTGGCGACCCCTCCTGGGCACTGGCAGCAAGGGGGGTCCCCGCCCACTTCTTCATTGCCTGTGCCCCCCAACCAGGCAGTGACTGCGTCCCGCAGCAGCTCACCAGGAAGCGGGAAGTCAGCGCCTCCTCTCCACTCCTGCCATTGCCTCTTGGGCACGTGAGGTGCACGCTGACTCAGGGCCCCTGCTCATGAGGACCCACACCCAGCCAGTGCTCTGCTGTGGCCATCTTGAAGTTCTTTATAATTTTTGAACAAGGAGCCCTGTTTTCATTTGCACCGAGTCTTGCAAATGATGTAGCTATCACAGGCGTGGCCATGCCCAGACCCCTGGAATGACAGGTCTGAAGTAGCTGGAGGGGGTCTCTCCCTGCCTGCGCCCCCCCGCACTTGCCGCTGCCCCATCTGCTCATCCCCTTCCAGCCTTTCCCTGGATGCACACCAGGCTGGGTCCTGAGCACGAGCTGGGTCCTCACCCCCTCCAGGAAAATCCTCTGCCCTCCCCTCCGGTCATGTGAACAGAGCACTCGGATCGTGGCTGGGTTCAGCTAAAGCGACCCCTGACCTCTCACAGACGCACCCAGAGCCCTGTGCTCAGGACTTTGGGCGCACACTTAGCACCAGAACCAGCCTGCCTCCTCGACTCGAGGCTCCTCTTGGCCGCTAAGCCTTCTCCCTCCCTTTGCCTGTTCCCGTGCCCCGTGTTGGTGACGGCGAGAGCTCGGCCAAACTGAGCGAGCACGTGAATCTTCATGCTAAATGCCCCAGTGGGGGGGCAGGGGGTGCACAGCTTTAAGCCTCGGCCCCCTGGGGATGTCAGGACCCATCCTCTAGTCATCCTGGGGCTGCGGCTGAGCTCCTGCTGGGTGCTGCACTGGGGGCTTGGAGCTCCAGACAGGAGCAGAAGTCTGCAGGGGGCCCACTGCACCCACCCCGCCAGAGTGCGAGACAGGGGAGAGGAGTGTGGGTGCATCACACTGAGAAGCAAGGCCAGAGCTGCCCCAAAGAGTTGGCCCCTTGACAGTGGGGGGACAGGCGAGGGGAGTGAGTGAGAACAGCAGGAAGGCACCCCACGGAAGCCAGGGAGCCGTGGGCATGGGTCCCTGCCACACCTTCCGGGCGCTGAGAAGCAGGCAGGGCTGAGCAGAGTGTGGCGGAAGGTTCTGTCCTAACGGGTCAGAGATTTCTGGTCCATTGGCATTGTGGTTCTAAAAGATCATGCCGACCGTATAAGGGGATGGACAGAAGCTGCGAGAGAGGGTGAAGGTTCTGTCCATCCATCCCACAGGTATTCTCAGCCGTCCCTGACAGTGTGGGGCACTGTCGCTGGTGATGGGATTCCCGTCCGAGCAAAGCCCTCTGGGTTTATAGTGATGAAAAGGCAGAGCAGGAGGAGGCTGCCATGGGGAGCCTGGGGAGGGACGTTCTGCAGAGGAGGGGATGGCAGGGCTGGTGCCTGAAGGATGAGGACAACCAGAGCAAAGGAACCTCCGGGACAAGGAACAGTGTGCACGGCATGGAAGGTGCCAGGAGGCAGGGCACAGAGCAAGGGGCGCACGCGGGAGAGCCGGTTTCAGTGGCTGCTTCTGTCACCGTACTGGGGCTGAGCCTCAGTTTCCCCGCTGTGACATGAAGGAAACCAGACTGCCTGGCATCTATTTTGAAGAAGAAAGGAAATGTCTCTGGGGGTGATGAGCACAGCATCGGGCTGGTCTGCCCCACTGCAAGGGGCCCCCAGTTCCACAGGACACATCAGTGGGCTCTCATGTTGAGCAGAATTGTGTTTCAAAGGAATAGAGGAGGGAGGGGCTCTCCCAGGATGTAGGAGCCGGATTACAGGTGGGGAGTGCGGGGGTGGGGGGACACAGCAAGGCCAACCCAGTCCCCCGCTCTCACACCCTCACAGCGTGTATCACCCTCCAACCTCTAGCATAAATATGTCTTTTGTTACTTATCAAAGGCCTCCCAGGCGCGGGTGAGCTCCCCAAGGGCAGAGACTGTTCATGTCTGCTTGGCATGAACTTGGCAGGCACTGAATGCCCCATAGAGGGAGTGACTAGATGGAGGGGGAAGGGCAGCTGTGGGGCAGGAAGGTGGCCGCAGGTTGGCCCGGGGGTAGGTAAGTGTAGGTGCAGATGTGTCCATGGGAAGCATCTTTAGAGGAGGATCAGCGGGGGACCTGGTGTCGGACCAGCTGTGGAGGAGGGACAGGCGTGACCAAACGCGCACGCGCCTTGGAGAGACGGAGCCCCGGGGCGCACCACCCAGTCCTCCATTCCGACACTGGCCACGTGCTCAGGGACAGGGAGGTGGCAGCAAGTGTGACGAAGCCGTGTGGTTCAGCCGTCGTCCTCGGAGCAGAGGGCAAGCGCTCAGACACCCGCACTACGGAGACCGCGGAAGGGCGGTCGGATGACGGAGAAGATGGCGACGCACCGACGGGCGCCGGGGCTAGAGAGGGCAGCGCCGCAGCTGGCGAACTACGTGCACCTGCACAGCCGCCCACCTGGGGCGAGGCCGCGGGAAGCGGGCGGGGGGGGGCGACGCCCCGGGGCGCTGCGGGGGGGGCCGCATCTCCGCGGCCGCGCGCAAACCTCCGCGCCCTCTCCCTCCGCCAGGGTCCGCCCGGCTTTGGCTCCCGACGCTCCGCTGGTGGGAAACTGGCGTATGTGCCGGACTGGAGGGCGCTTCTCCGCCTCGAGGGTATTTACCATCGAGAGACGTGAAGTAGGACCGCGTGAGCGCTCAGCCCGAGAGACGCAGGCCACGCACAGCCCGCGGACGCACGGACGGACCGACGGACTCCTAAGGCTCAGGAGGGACGGTCAGCAAGACCAGACGGGGCAAAGGGGCCGGACTGTCCCTTTCCCTTGGTGGGGGAAGCGCGGGGTGGGGGGGGACCGCGCTCCGGCAGCCAGGCCTGACGTCATTACACTCGAGCCAATGGGGTGAGTCTGCGGCTGCGGGCCCCGCCCCCGGCCGAGTCCCGGAGCCCCGACCCGCGAGCTGCCGGGGCAGGGACCGCAGGGTCTGGCGGAGAATTCGCTGCGTTTGCGTCCCAGCGCCCGGGCGTGTCCTCCAAGTCCTGAGCCGCCGCGAACGCCGTTCCGGGACGTAAAACCACCGGGGAAGTGCGCTTCACCACCGGGATGCCTTCCCCGCACCTCGAGATGCGGGAACAGGGAGGGAAAACTCATGCGATCTTTTCAATGAAAGAGAAAATACATTCTCAGAAAGAAAAAAAAAATCGGCATTTCTTCATGGCTCGGAGAGCCCGCCCGGAGCTCTCCGTAAATGAGGACGAGGGAGAACTTCCCCACATGACGCGGCAGGTGCTGAGGGGGTCGTCGGGCTTCGCTCCGGAGCCTCTTTCCCAAAGCGCTTGTGCTTCTGCCCCCGGGGCGGGGGCAGTGGTGAAGCGGAGGCCCGGGGGCGAGGTGCGCTCAGGTTTAGGGAGAGGCGGCGGCTGGGACCCCGTACCAACGTCTGTGCCCAGTTTCGGGTCCTCTCCTAAACACTAACAGCAAAGCCCCCGGTTACATCAGCTCGTGTGGCTTCTGTTGCCTGCAACCAAGACCTGGGACTTGAGAAGGCGAGAAGTCTGGACGCACAGCACACATCACGCAGACGCAAAGCGTGTGTTCCTACCGAGTCGGAAGCATGATGAGGTTGTCCCATCCGCCGCTTCCTTTAAGTAGTGTACGATATGACTGTGCACACGGAAGGGCCAAGATGATACACAGGCCGTGAGAACCAGACCAAGGGCTTGGCACCTGGAAACAAACCATTGCACAAAAACCAAAACCACTGTGGGCAGGCCAGCGAGTGGGGCCCCAGAGAGCACCAGGGGCCCCGGGCCCTGGGTGGGGGGTATGCGCCCCGAGGTACCCTCACACCGGTGCGGCTGGGCTCCTGGTCTGCTAGGACTGGGACCCGAAAGGAAGGCTGAGAGCACACTCCCCCAGCAGAAGGCCTTTGCAGCTGGGTAGAAGAGGTGACAGGTCTGGGCATTGGAACAACTTTTAGTAGAGCTTAAAAGATGGCATAGGCCACTGACCCTTAAAGCAGATTGCCAGGGTCAGTGGAAATAGGCCACAAGTCCCCGTTCAGTGATGAGGCTCTGTTAGAGCTTGTCGGCGGCCAACTACACAGTATCCACAAAGCTGGCGAGCCGGGACTGGAGCTCGGGTTTAGTGGGACAGCAGGTTGCCGGGACAGCAGGTTTCGTGGGTCTGGATAGAATCGAGGGATTCTAGCAACAACCAACACCGGGTCCAACGTGCAGAAACACAAGATGTTCGGAGGAAGGGAAACAGAAATCCGGGCAAAGTGGAATTGGGTGCTGGTAGGAGCCCGCAGTGGGCCAGCCAAGCAGGCGGGATGGGTGGCCTTGAGAGCAGGAAGGATCTCTAGGCTCCTCAGGTGGAACCAGACACCTTCAGCCTGCTGTGGGCTCTACGGAGGGCGAGCCAGGTGGCGTTTGCCTGGCCCCCACAGCCTCTTTGCAGGTGGGCTCCGGTGGGGCCCCTCTCAGGAGCCTGGGTGCCAAGTGGGTGGCCCCCGGCAGCCCTGGTCATTGCCGAGGGAAGGAGATAGTTCTGACCATGTGAAAACGAAAAACCCAACCCCAGGACATGCTGAGTCAAGAGGCAAGCTCAAACTTGAATACAAACAGGCCCCCTCGCAGCCAGCCGCTTTTGTGGGATCACACACCAGCAGCCGGCGGGCCGCTGTTCCCATGGGCTACACACCAGGTCTGTAGTCTAGAGATAAAGACACTGGAGAGAAGGCGGCCGGGAGCACAGAGGGCTGTTTTCCAAAGAAAGCCGGAATGGCCCTCCTCCCCCATCTGAGGCACGGGGTCCCACCCAGAGCTGGCGCGTTAGCAGGGGAGGGGCACACTCTCCGTCCTTCTGGGACGCACTTCTGGGCATCCAGCCAAGCACAGCCCGCATCCCATGACTGCTTCCTGTCCCACTGCCTTGGAGAGCTTCCCACGCGGGGTGGCAAGGCAGACGTGCCCAAGCACCTTTGGGAAGTGTTGTGCTCCGTGTCCCTCCACGGAACCAGCCTCAGAGAACGGCATGCTAAGAATATACTGGAATGAGCCTGGCCTGAGCCCCTGGCCATGAGGCCACCAGATGCTCACAGGTTATGGGACCTGCCTCCCCTGTGCCACCATAGTGGCCCTTGAGGCTACCAATGGGGTGGGGAAAGCGTCAGTTCTGCTAGTCTGGGGAGGGCCCCTGGGAATGAGGGCTGGCCATCTGGAGGCCATCGCAGAGGCGAAGGAGGAGAGGGCTGTCCCAGCCGTGGTCAGGACCGTCCTCTGCCCTATCCTCTGGGGAGGCCACAAGGCCAAGGCCACAGGCTCCTGACACCAGATGCCCTGGACACCCTCAGGCCACTCGGACTGAATGCCAGCCTTCCTCCATTCCAGGGGGGCCTGGGATTCTGATGTCTTGCCTGGGTTGGAGTCTAGGGCCCCCCAGCAGCTCCTCCAAGGCCAGCATACACCCCATCCCCGACAGGTGAGGGGGCAGGTCCTCTGAGTGGGAGGTGGGAGCCACACACCTGGATGATCTTCTCTGGAATGTTGGAGACCGTGAAGCCGTAGAGCCGTACACGCTCCGGGAAGATGCTGGACAGGATCCTGCGGTCCAGCTGGAAGGCGATCTCCCCCACCAGCCTCTCCCAGGCTAGCTGCTTTGATTCTGGGGACAGCAAGGGGAGAAGGACTGGTCAGTGGCCATGGTCAGCAGCCCAGGCTAGTGCCAGGGAGGTCTACAAGGGCATCAGGCATCAGGGGAGACCACCCCCCTCATGTTGAACTTGTGTCACTGACCTCGGGGGCTGTCAGGGAACTTGCTGGCCTTTCGATGGGCCGTCTTCCGTTCCAGCTCTAGGATGCTTTTCCGAGATGTCTCCATGCCACGTGGACCCCGGGCGTTGTTGACTGTAGCCGGGGAGGACGAGGTTCGGGGCGGGGAGTGGGGGTTTCGTGGAGGGGAGGGGGGGGTGGGCAAGGGCTGGGTGGGAGGGTGGTGTGCCCGGGTGGGAGACGGGGGGGGGCACTGGACAATGTGGGTGGTGCTCGAGGGAGTGTAGTTGGTGGTAGGTTGGGGTGCGGGAGTAGGGATAGGGACGAGGACTGTGGCGGTTGGAGAGGTGGTTGGGGTAGTGGGGACAGATGCAGGAACCGCTTGTCCCTGAGGGGCACTGGGCTGGGTCTGGGCATCTGAGCTGCTATAGGAGAAGGTGGTCATGGGGTCAGGCGTGCCCCTGGTCCCGATAGGGGTGGAGGCCTGGATGGGTGAACCCACAAACGTCATGCTGAAGGGCTCCAGGTCCTGGGTCGGCTGGGGATGCTCAGTGGAGATTGGGACTAGTGACGTGGTGGGGCAGAAAGGGGAGAGAAGGAGGATCAGAGCAGGACTAAGGACTGGCCTGGCAGTGGGGAGGGGGGCTGTGGTCCCTCCCCCTGAGCCAGTTACCTTTCGGGGTGGCTACAGGCCCTGCTCCAGCCGAGGGATGGGGTCCGGAAGGGTACCCCCGGAGTGGATCTGACAGCACCAGATTGCCCATGGGGTTGGCCAGAAGGTTCTGAGAGACACCTAGAGGGGCGGCTGCGGAGGTGAGGAGGGGGCTGCTCAGAGAGACGGCCACTGCGCCTGTCATTGGAGCCATCAGGGCACTGCTCGGAGTCAGGGGGCCAGTTGAGGGCAGGCCCAGGGAGCTGGTCAGCGTGCCCCCCGGAGACACCGCCATGGGGCCGGTCAGGAGGCTGGTGAGCATGCCGCTCTGTGACAGAGAGCCCGGGCCAGGCAGCAGGGGGCTGAGGGGGCCGGTCAGGGGGTTTGCGGCTGGGCGTGCCGTGGCGCTGGGCTGCGGGCTGTTTAGCATGTCGGCCAGGGGCGCCAGAGTCATGATCCCCACTTCATCCAGGAGAGGCTCGTTTGCTGCTGCCGGGGACGGGGGCAGGAACACACCTGGGGGACACAGAGAAAGCACTGAGACCCCAGGCAGGCTCTTCGAGGAAGGGGCCTGGGCCAAGGTGCCGTCTTCCTCTGAGGAGCGGACCAACTCTGAGCCTCTTCTCCTAGTCGGCCCAGACAATGGTCCTTTCCCTTTGGGGGCGGTCTGTGGGGCGCCTCGGCAGATCCCCCATGCGGGTCCGGCCCTTTGTCCACATCTTCTGAAGGAGCCTTGCTCCTCTGGGTCCACTTCTCTGAACACCCACCTGCCACCAAGCCAGAGGGCCCTTCCCCAGCTGCCCGCGGTCTCCTGGTGGCTGGTCCCCGGGCTGTCCCGCTGCCCCGTCCTTCCCCCGGCAGGGAGCAGTGGGTCCTGGCCTCCTGCCCACTGCTGCTGTAGGGACAGCCTCACCTCCCGGGTGCGGGACCCTCGGGGAGGCCGGGCGGGACTAGGCACAGCGTCTCTGGGAGCAGTAAGTGCAGGTTCAGCAGGGCAGGCGGGCCCAGAGGCATGGCCTCACGCTCTAGTCCCTGTGTAGGCGGAGAGCCCGGAGAGCCTGTTTCCTTGGGGTCCTGAGGTCAGTGCCCTTGAATGACCTCTGTTGCGGGAGAGAAGGCCCCTGGGGGCGCAGAAGCTGGGGGGAGGGTGCAGGGAAGGTTTTAACCGAAAACTGCTACCAAGAGCCATTAGCTCAGGGTAGAAAACAGGGAAAGGAGCCACGATTAGAAATGCGGTGGTCCCCTCCTCCGCGGGTGGTCGCGGTACAGAGCTCCGTGTTGCCTTGAAGACTTTCTCCACGAGTTTTCTAGATCAGGGGTCGAGAACCTTTCCTATTAAGGGCTGGTGGTAAATATTCCGGGTTTTGCAGGCCCCCCTGGTCTCTGTGGTGACAGCTCGGCCAGGACACGGGGCTGGCAAAGCGGCCGCAGACAATGCGGAGACAAACGTGGATCTGTGGCAACAAAACTTGATTCAGAGACACTGATGTCTGAATTTCGTGGACTTTTGGCACGTCCGGAAATAGCATTCTTTTGATTTTGTTTCAACCATTAAAAATGTAAAATCTGGGGCGTCTGGGTGGCTCAGTTAGTAAGCCTCTGCCTTCGGCTCGGGTCATGATCTCTGGGTCCTGGGATCGAGTCCCACATTGGGCTCTCTGCTCAGCGGGGAGCCTGCTTCCCCCTCTCTCTGTCTGTCTCTCTGCCTGCTTGTGCTGTCTCTCTCTCCGTCGAATAAATGAGTAAAATCTTTAAAAAAAAAAAAAAAAGTAAAATCCGTTCTTAGCTCCAGGACCACGTACCCAGAGGTGGCAGTCTCGTCTGGCCTCCCTGTCCTCCTGTCCTCCCTGTCTTCCTCCTGCACCGCCTCCAGCACGACCCTTCTCTCTGAGACCCTCGCTCAGGGTGGCGGCCCGGGCTCCCGCTCCCGCAGGTGCCTCTCTTCCTTGAGCCTCTTCCAACCCTTGAGCAAGCAAATTGATTCCAATTTTCCCAATGACAAATAATTCTACTACACAAATCTTTTTTATTAGGTTTTAAATGTTAATTCCAGCATCGTTAACATGGACCGCAAGATTAGTTTCCGGGCTCGCCGTAGTGATTCGACGCTTGTAGGCATCACCTGGAGCTCATCAGGACAGGTGCACGCCCTAATCCCCACCACCTGTCCCCCCCCCCCCCCCCCCCCCGCCCCCCTGCCGACCCTCAGTGTGTTCTCGAGTTCAGATTGTGTTTCCCGGTTTGCCTCTTTCTTTCTTTCTTTCCTTCTTTTTCCATTTGCTTGTTTGTTTCTTAAATTCCACAAATGAGTGAAATCATATGGTATTTGTCTTTCTCTGACTTATTTTGCTCAGCATAATATTCTCTATAGTTCCATCCACATTGTTGCAAATGGCAAGATTTCAGTTTTTTATGCCTGAGTAATATTCCACTGTGTGTGTGTGTGTGTGTGTGTGTGTGTGTGTGTGTGTGACATCTTCATCCGTTTACCTGTCGATGGACACTTGGGCTGCTTCCATATCTTTGCCGTCATAGATAATGCTGTTACAAGCCTGGGGGCATGTATCCCTTCGAATTAGTGTTTTTTGTATTCTTTGGATAAACACCCAGTAGTGCGATTGCTGGGTCATACAGTAGCTCTATTTTCAACTTTTTGAGGATCCTCCGTGCTGTTTTCCAGAGCCGCTGCGCCAGCTTGCATTCCCACCAACAGTGTAGGGGGCTCCCCTTTCCTACATCCTCGCCAACACCTGTTGTTTGCTGTGTTGTTGATTTTAGCCGTTCTGACTGGTGTGAGGTGGTATCTCAGTGTGGTTCTGATTTGTATTTCCCTGAAGATGAGTGATGTTGACTACATAAATCTTTATTATTGATTTCCCGCCCCCCGAAAACAGACATTCCAGTGGTCCTTAACGCACATGGCTAAATCTACCTTCCTTAAGACTCCCAGAAACATCCCTACATTCCTTCGGAAGTCTCCAGGCTTCTTGCTTAAATCTATGCCTGTGAGACACCCTATAGAATGTGTGGCAAGATGTCTTGAAACTTAATTTTTTTTAAAGATTTTTTTTTTGTTTGAGAGAGAGACAGCACAAGCCGAGTGAAGGGCATGGGGAGAGGTGGTCTCCCAGCGGAGCAGGGAGCTGGACATAGCGCTCTCTCCCAGGACCCAGAGACCATGACCTGAGCTGAAGGCAGACGCTTAATCAACTGAGCCACCCAGGTTCCCCAAGAAAACTGCAAACATTTTTGAAAGGAATTAAAGAAGATCTAAGTAAATGGGAAAGAATCCCATGGAGAGTAATACTCCCCAAGTTCACCGGCAGAGTCAGTGCAATCTGTCAGAATCCAGACTGACTTCTTTGTAGGGACTGACAAGTCGATACCCAAATTCACAAGGAATTGCAAGGGACCCAGAATGGCCAAAGCCACATTTTAAAAGCAAGAAGCCATTGTTACAGGTGTCACTTAGCCACCCTGTACTTCTCCCCCTTATACTACCTAAGAAAAAAAAAAAAAAAGAGAGAGAGAGAGAAGAAAGCAAGGAAGGAAGGAAGGAGAAAGTTTGAGGACTCAGTTTCAGATTTCAGAATTTACTACAAAGCTACAGCAGTTGGGATCATGTTACTCTGGCATAGTGAGAGACATATAGGTCGATGGAATAGTATAGGGAGCCCAGAAATAAACCCATGTATCTGTGGCCTGATTTTCAACAAGGGGGCCAAGACAATTCAATGAAGGAAAGAATAATCTTTTCAAAAAATGGTGAGGGGACTACTGGAATCCATGTGTAAAAGAATGAAGTTGGACACTTGCCTCACAACATACACAAAAGTTGAATGGATCAAAGGCCTACATGTAAGAACTAAAACTGTAAAATTCTTAGAAGAAAACATAGGGTTTCATGACCCTGGATTTGGCCATGTATTCTTAGATGTGGCCCCAAAACTGTGAGCAACAAAAGAAATAGTAGATGAGATGGATTTCATCAAATGTAAAAGCTTCTGTGTCTCAAAGGACACCATCAAGGAAGTAAAAAGGCAACCCATGGAATGGGAGAAGGCGTTCGTGAGTCACACATTTGGTAAGAGACATGTAAACAGAATCCTTCAAGAACTCTTACAACTCAATAATAAAAAAATTAGTTGCCCAACTTAAAAATGGGCAAAGCACATGAACAGACATTCTCAAAGATGATATTCAAATGGCCAATTAGCAGAGAAAAGATGCTCAGACTTATTATGCATTAGGGAAAGGCAAATCAGAACCACGTCACACTCACTGGGATGGCTATAATAAAAAAATCAGATAAGTATGGGTAAGGATATGGGGAAATTGGAACACTTGTACATTGCTGGTGGGAATGAACAAGAGAGAACCACCTTGAGAAACAACCTGACAGTTCCTCAAACAGTTACACATATAGTCACCATATGACCCAGCAATTCTACTCTTAGATACACACCCATGAGAAATGGAAACATAAATCCACCCAAAAACTCATATATGGATGTTTATAGCAGTGTTACTCATAATGGCCCCAAAGAGGAAACCACCCAAGAGTCCATCGGCTGCTGAATGAATAAACAAAATGTGGCATATCCATTAATGAAATATTATTCATCCATGAAACAAGAGCAAACAACGAATACGAACTGGAAATCCTGACTCACTCTACAGCATGGGCAACCCTGAACTGTGCGGGTGGAGGAAACCAGACCCAAAAGCCACATATATATGATTTCTGGCGTAAGAAATATCCAGAATAGGCAAATCCGTGAAAACAGAAAGTAGATGAATGGCTGCTGAGAGTTGTGGAGGGTTAGGTGGTTGGAGTATCATAGCCGAAGGGTTTCCTTCTGGGGCGATGGAAATGTTCTAAGATCTTGGTGATCTTTGTGCAAACCCCTGGGTATATGAACAACTATTGAATCGCACACTTTAAATGGGTGAATTGCATGGTATGTGAATTACATCCCAATAAAGTTGTTATTTTAAAAATGATTCAGGGGCGCCTGGGTGGCTCTGTGGGTTAAGCCTCTGCCTTCGGCTCAGGTCATGATCTCAGGGTCCTGGGATCGAGCCCCGCATCAGGCTCTCTGCTCAACAGGGAGCCTGCTTCTCCCTCTCTCTCTGTCTGCCTCTCTGCCTACTTGTGATCTCTGTCAAATAAATAAATAAAATCTTAAAAAAGTGATTCATTGGGGTCATAGGCATTTAGGTTTGCAAGAAAAACATTCATGGTTCAGGGGCCGATTAAATGCACCCACAGATCACGGAGGAGCAGATGTCCCACTGCTCGGAGCCATGACTTTTGTGGCTGCAGCCACAGACACGGGCTTCATAGGGTTTGCAACCCATTAGGGTCACCAATGAGAATCCCAGGAGCCACCTGGCAGAAATATCTGATGAGTTTGGGGAGCACCAGTAATACTGAAGCCGTGATGTGAGCCAGGGGTCCGCAGCTGGCCGCTGTTTGAGAGATTTCCATCTCAAACACCATCTGATTTCACTCA